TTAACGATACTTACCATAGGTGAAGGAGACCACTGGACATATGGGAATCATTGGTTTCGTATATTCTACAGACACCCGTATCGTAGACCAGCCTATTTATATTACGTGTCGCACCCGGAAAAGCCGTATTGGCGCCTGCGCAGAGCAAAGGGCGATGGGGACGTTTGTTTTGTGTTCCCCAACTTTATTTTAGCCACAATAATAAAATGACAAAACAAACGACAGGGAGTATCTGAAAACCGAGCACACGAATAGAAAAACAGTACAAACGTGAAAAATACATTGCACAAATAAGGAAAATGAATAAATAAAATAGAAATAGAAACAACTCCATTAGGTGGCCCTACTACAGATTTATTAACCAAGATAACAAACCACCTATCAGTGTCTGATGATATATTTTTAATAGAGGATCAATATTTTTCTGAACTAGTTTGTTTGATTCCCAGGGTATAATAGCCCCCTCTGGTCATTTGAAATGATCGAACCTGACATAGATTTTTAAGGCAGTAAATAGTTAATGACAGGTCTTCAGATTTCGACTCGTCCACCCTTTTCCATTTCTTCCAATAGGTCTTCCTACAATACTGGACCTTTAATGTCATCAAACAAACCCTGATTTTAATTGGCTAAATTAATGGGGACCTAAGGGACATGTAATTGGTCTCAACAACAAATATTTAGTAATCATAATTTGGTTTGGTTCGATTGCTTCTCTTAAGTATTTTCATTTGTATGGAGATTCCCATAATCTATTGTATGCACCCCAGTACTGATTTTCTTAAACCAGCTGGTAATGACTGTGTTGTAAAGTTTGTTCATTTTCAAATGTAAATGATATGATCAAGGATGCCCATGGACTACATAGAGACCCTATAGTCTATAATATATAAATATATAGATACAGTGTATCTATGGTTTTAAGATGTTATCAGTTATTGTATTCAATGTTTGAGTGCATTGTTAGCGTTGCCTTTCTGGCTAGATTTAGTGACCTTTCAGACCCTCTTAGCTACTTTATTTCTAAAAAGTGGATGGTGACAAATTAAGCGACTCAATCAGACCATTAGGGAAAAGACGAGGAATGTATTCTAATACAATATATTATCATTCATTCCTATGCATGCTGCTCACAGTAATCCCAGTCTATAGCTCTTCTGCCAACAGCGCCACAGTCTCTCCCTCTCCTCTTGTGCCGTGCACAAGCAGTCAGTAGGTGTTTGTAATGGTCTTCCTAAAGCTTATACTGTATATAAAAAAGCCTGTTTGAGCTTGTACATATTTAAATAGATCATTTGTTACCCTCCCTTTTTACTCCATATACAATGTCCCTGTTGTGACTTTGTAAATAATAATAATTATTATAATATAATTATATTATAATTATGTGACTTAATAATAATTATGCCCAAAGTGTGTTCATGTAAATTTCCATTTATCGATCAGAAACAGGTTTGTTTCTGCAGTCTGCAGAGATGCATTTATTGATCGAACAGTTAGGAATAAGCAAGAAACAGTAACTCAACCAATGAGTGAAAGAATAATGAAAACTGACTGTGGCCAAACATCTTCTACGGAACTTCTACGGCGGACCAGAATGAGTCAATGAAGTGACGTGAGTTACTGAAACAAAGTTATTAAACTATATTCATTATGCAGAATGAAAAAAAGAACTTCAGTTTGGGATAATGGTTGATAAGTCTGGTACAGTTGGAAGTAAAATTCAGGACTGGATTCTGGGGGTAAAGGTTCATTTAGAGCCCTAACTTACCCGCCCATTTTTTCTCTCACTTTGCCAGATTGTTATAGTTGCTTTGTTGTTTCATAAAGTTGCTGTTGAGCCTCTGATCTCTGCACCCTGTACCTGCAACCTGGACCCTACACTGATATCTGAAACCTGTACCTGCCTATCTGCCTGTAAGCTCATGTTACCATTGTACTATCTGCTTTCCATTCCTATTTCTAGACTGTGTGCATGGGACCCACGTGACCTATGACCTCTCTCAAAGATCTTTAGTGTGATGCTCCTCTGGACAGTTTACTTATTACTTATTTACTTTATACTAATACATTCTTTATGGAATAAATCTGTGTTTCTGCTTTCTATGGTTAACTGACCCTGGCCTATACTCTGCCAAGCTTGTGGTCAATGGTCCCAGACTGTCTATACAGGAAGATTATAAGACCATGTCTTTATTTCTTGATATGGTACATAAAAACTGGATTCTGTTGTTTAGACTAGGTAGATTAGAAGAGCCAAGTCCTTGTATATGTACACATACTGCATTTGGCAGTAATATAAAGCTGATTCTGAGTCAGAAATATTGTATTAACACATGCTTTGGGCCACAACTTATGTTACATGATATTGTTACAAACACATAATAAAACATACCAACACATTCTGATCAGTCACCTTAACTATGATAGACGACAAAACATGACAAGCTGAGCAGGAGAACCGATCTATATATCTGCTGCTGTAGAGAAAAGTCTTCCTCTGTCTATCAGCTCTGTCAGTCCATTACGATGTATGTTAAACTCTAAAAGTGTTCAGATGTTTTCTAAAATGTAGGTGCAAGGTAATCATAGGCAGCAAATATCAATCTACACAAAGAGACAGGAAGTTAAAAGACAATACTTCTTTGTTGCTGAAACACATGAGCTCAATATCCCACAATAGCAACCTGAATTGCTTTTGTACTTTTATTTATCTACTATTTTCTATATTGAGCTGTACTTAATTGTATAATTGCACTGCTGCAACACCTTAACCTCCCCTAGGGAGATGAATACAGGTTTATCTTATCTTGCTGTATAATGAGGCCAAAAGATGATGCCACTGTATTTCAGTACAGCAGTGCACGGTGGGTGGCAGCAATGCACATGTCATGTTTGATCTGCCTCTAAAAAGACCAATGATCGCTGTTGTTATGATTCTCCAGTACATTGTTAAAAAAGCATGCAAACAGAGAGCAAAACAGTGAATAATAATCTAATGTCAAATGTGGAGTATTAACAAAAAAGAAAACCTGACACACATTGGCCAGAATATTAGCACATAGTTATTCATATATCTATATAGTGCAAATTCAACCAGTCCCAGTGAATTCTGCATGACCTTTCAATTTTGTCCAGTCACCACCCTTTTTCCACAAATTTGACCAATATGTAGTTTCCCAAAACGTTGCAGTTGCCAACCTATGAGCGATTTTATTCTCAGTGGAACAAGTTTCTTGTCTTATTGCAAAAAAATGCCTAGAAACATTGCAACATCTATCACAATTTATTAGAAAAGCTGCCATGAAATCAGGGCAAGCATTTTAGGCCACAAGAATCCCAAAAGATTCCTGCGAGGGATATGGATAATCGTAGTGAATCTGCATTAGATATGTAAGGAACTGAACACTGTAAAGGACAGAAGGTAAATGGTTCACATTAAAGCACTGCACTAAAACAGTGTACTGAGGAATTCTTAAGTAAAAAATGTGAGCACAGGACTTGAAGAGCTTAGGAGTGTTGTGTATTTTACATTGTGGTAATTCACTACTTCCACCGCTGTATGTTCCTCAGGGGGCTCAGTGTGGATTATATTCGGTCACTGGTTTATTGCCCTGACTCCACCCACTCCGATACAGCAGGTGGCAGTAAACATTTTTAATGTTGAGAGAAAGCAACTATCCCAGCACATTGAGACTCCGTTGTGGAGCTTTCAGGACATCTCCAATTCCAGCTCTGTTCATTGAAATGGGTGAAATGCCCTTATGTTGAAGGCGCATTAAGTTGGGAATGCAGTATTGGGTAAAATTGAATGGATCTAATTTAGCATTCCCAGCAAGGTGTCTTATGCAAGGGACACTGGATTCTTATAGAAAGATAAGAAATAAACCTTTTTTGAATGTATAAATCAGTGGACAAGGAAATTGAGAATGGAGCAGGAAAACATGGCACTCTACACAATTCGATGACCTATTCCTTATTGATTAATGCAAGAATTGGATATTGATTTAACTTTTTTACAAGAAAAGAATAAACATGTGATTGCTTTAACATTGGAACAATATCTGAACAGTGGTATGGGATCATATCTGAATATTTTTACAGATGGTGCTAGGGAACCAGAGAGTGGTAAAGCAGGTTTTGCAGTGTATATAACTCAAGTGGACCTTAGGATCAGTCAAAGAATTACAAACGGAAGCTCTGTACAACAGAGTTACTGGCAATTCTTTGGGCTCTGTGGTGGATTGAGGATGTGAAGATCAGTGAAACCTTAATCTGCTCTGATTCTGCAGCTGCCCTGATGGCCTTGAAAGGAGGTAAATCGAAAGCCTGTCCTGATATCATAAATGAAATTCTAGCTGTTTTATTTAGAATCACAGAGATTGGTGGAAATGTCATGTTCTGCTGGGTCCCTGGGCATGCTGGAGTTGAAGGAAATGAAATAGCAGACTGTTTAGCAAAATCAAGCCTAAAGAAGTCAGAGACAGATATAAATATATTATTGGGAAGAGTGGAACTAAAAGAAAAAATTAAACAGAGTGAGGGAATGGCAAAGATTATGGGAAGATGAGACCAAGGGGAGACATTATTACTCTTTGCAGTCTCAGGTTAAAAAAGCCAGCCATTGTTATGGATCCAGAAGAGATTCTGTTAAAACCTGTAGGTTGAGACTTGTGGGTTGAATCAGTCTTTATATGTTATTGGAAAGCATCCTAATGGGCTTTGTGAGTGTGGAAATTCTGAAACAGTTGAACATGTTTTATTCAAATGTAACAAATATACCATAGAAAGGAGCATTTTACATAAGAGAGTATCAGATTTGGGAGTTGGGTCAAAATGAGAACCACCACTTGATTGTTAAAGTAGTATTACAGTTCTTACACATACAGGGCTATATATGAAAATTTGAAGCAGTAACATTATCCTTAGAGTGACTTCCTGAGGAGGGCAGTAATACGCCTAGAAGCATCTAAACTGCCGGAAATTCATATGAAGAAGAAGAAGAATATCCCAGCGTGCACCGCTGCCGCTGTGTCCGACATTACCAAACCAATGTTACCGGACCGATCCGACTGTGTTCGGCAGTGAAGCAGACTCGGACACTGTGTAGCCTCCCCCCCGCTGCAGGATGAGCTCCCTGCGGACCCTCCTCACCTCCTCTGCGCTGATCGCTGTGATGGGGCTCGGCTATGGGATGTGGTCTATTATCGCTCCGGGAGAGGACAGGCGGAGAGAGATCATCAGGGTAACTCAGCTGTGTGCTTTAAACCAAACCTACTGTGTGTGTGTGTGTGTGTATGTGTGTGTGTGTGTGTGTGTATGTATGTGTGTGTGTGTGTGTGTGTGTGTGTGTGTGTGTGTGTGTGTGTGTATGTGTATATGTGTGTGTGTGTGTGTGTATGTATATATGTGTGTGTGAGTGTATATGTGTGTGTGTGTGTGTGTATATATATGTGTGTGTGAGTGTATATGTGTGTGTGTGTGTGTGTAGTGTGTGTGTGTGTGTGTATGTATGTGTGTGTGTGTGTGTGTGTGTGTGTATGTATATGTATGTGTGTGTGTGTGTGTGTATGTGTGTGTGTGTGTGTGTGTGTGTGCGCGCTGTATACTGTATACTGTAGTCCCAGTGTGTGCACAGGTCTTCTCCTGCAGGAAGGGTTGAAGATAAAACGTTAGAACATTAACCTTGGAATATGAGGCTCGCTCCAGATGAACCAGGCATGTGCAGGATAGTTTTTTTTTTTTTACCTTTTATTAGTAAAATGAGTTTAATATAGATACAATACACAAGACACAACAGCCTGCAGCAGCAACAACACACTGGAGCAAAGGACAACAACTAATTCTATTTATTAAAGATCAATAGAGAAAACCAACTGTACACAAATAGGGTGAATTAAAGCTGCAGTAAGTAAAGTTTTTTTTTTTTTTTTTTAACCGTTGCTCTGTCTCATACTACGTGTTGTGGTTGTATTTTCAACGCAGACAAGCCTAGCTCACATATATAAGTACAGGAAATGAGAAAGTCCACCGAGGTTCCAAAAGGGGCGGGACTTAGGAAGGGTCAGTTTGCTTGTTGGACCGTTCTGTTTATTTGTTTGTGGTTGAATGTATTAACTCATTGCATGTGTTTGCCTCTTTCTGTGCTGCCTATCAGCATCTGCCTGAATCGAACCCGGTGAGGATGGAGGAGACGAGGAAGAGGAACGCTCTGGTGATGGAGGCACTCAAGGAGGCAGCTGAAACCAACGAAAATATCGTAAGAAGGTTCGGAGGATCGAAATAGACATACCTGGCTCCGTGTTTTGAATGCTGCTGGTATGCCGGGCCACTTCAGATAAACATGAACTTTATATTGTACTGGACCTTTAATGTCTTCATTGTTAGTGACAACAATTTACAGATGGATGTTAAAATTGTTTATTAAAACTCTCCCAACACAACCGCATCTTTTCAGTCTTGTTCAAAGCTTAGTGATGACCAAGACTGGTAATGATCAGGGTTCTAGCATTTACGTCTGATGATGTTATATTTTCATGAACAAACGCATGAAAAGACCAAAACAAACAATGACTGTATCCCACTAACAAGTATCCAAAGCCTGACATATCTTACTCCTCTGTTCCATACAGCCCCAAAACACTTCAGTGAGCCTCACTGGGGAAATACTGTACGTTTGGTGTGTGCCTTGCAGGGTAGTGTGTGTGTGTGTGTGTGTGTGTGTGTGGTTAAATAAGAGTCAAATTGTAAGGCACGGCTTTCTTTATATTTCTTTATAGATATTTATAAATGCCGTCCATTTCTTCATTACTGTGAACGCAACCACTGTAGATTATTTTGACTCAATCCCACATGCGCCATCCCGCTGCCACAGAGTACACAAAATGTTTATTATTCTGCTCCTGTTGGATTAAAAACCACAGCACCCAGCTTCTAGGAAAAAAAAAAAAATAGAAGGACATATTTGTGAGAAGTAACAAGGATTTATGTCTCCAGTTGGACAGGCTTGCAGCTGAGAGCCACAGACAGAAGGGACGTCAGGAAGTGTTGATAGACTGACACATTGTTGGTTCTGGTATTTTCGTGGGATTTGCTGGCAGCAACTAAATATCTAGAAGAACACCAGACATATCCTTCAAGTACTCTATGGATACTGGTGCAAACACTGGATCCAGTTTTCTGATCACTGACTGATATATTCAACTGAATATATATTTATATATATATATATATATATATAAAATATATTGGTAGTGACAAACAGAAGAATGTGCTCTCATTTTGAAGACAAATCCATAAATCCACTGGATAATGCTGTATATATTGAGGTATATACTGTAAATAAAGGCTCTGGTCTCTGTACATGAAAAGCTGATATGAGTTTGGAGGTTTGGTAATTGATCTAAAGCTGTTTTTACACTGTCTTTATCTTGGCCGGTTGATGAAGTGACCTATACTCTGGAGATGGAACCAAATGTTACACGTAATATGTGGTGACGTTTACTCACATGGAATATTAAAGGGGTAATTCCAACCTTGGATCCTCTTTAACTAATGCATGTATATATCCAATCAAGAATGACTGTGATGAAGTGTTGCTATTGATGCTGTTAACGGTGTATCCTTGAGCTGACTGCTAAATCTCCCACATTTCTCAGAGTGACTTTAAACAACCTTGGAAGAACTGGTGTGAAATTGTTCACTGTCTGTGACTAGAATAAAGTTAGATTCCTTCTGGATATTTGTGGATATGGTATCTACACCAGTGACTGTAAATGTTTTAATCAGAAATATACTGAACACAGGTCAGTTGTCAGTAACAAACATTACTAAGAGTGTACAGTAATGCTAGCAGCTGTGTGAAAGGGTACAGGCAGAACAGGGCTTTGAGCTAAAAGCTAATGCTAAATGCAAGCAGTGCTCACAATAACTACGCCAACATGCTGATCTTAAGCAGGTCACATCGGTCTTAGCATGCTAACATATGATAATTGGCACTAAACATTTGTTCATGAAATAAATGATGACCTTTTTGGTGTTAACCTATGGTGCAATTCTGTTGATTAGTTTGATATATTACATTAACCACCATGTTCATTTTTAATCCTTGAAATACCAAAAAGCACAGGATGCTTCAGATCCACGTTTATACACATTAATGAAATGTTAGGAAAAATATGAGGAGGATCTACTGGCAGAGTGTCTGGAATGTTACCTGTAATTCACAATGCAGCATTGTTTCATTGTCTTTCTTTGCTCTAATGGAGGCTGGTGGCCAAATCAGAGTGATAAACAGAGGAACAAGCGTCTTTTTGCCAGCCCACTATGACAGTGATTTTCCTGAATGCAACTTCATTTAGAAGAAGCATGTATTTTATTGGCTACTTTTTATACTCAAGTATAAATGTATTCTACATTTTTAGAGGCCTACACAAGGTCCAGTTCTTTATTTGCCATGTATTCCCTTACAAAAAGTTTTTAGAAATACATTTAAACCCACTTGGAGGAGATCTGAATAGTTTCCAGAGCCACTGTATTTTAGAAGATTGTGCATTTGACAATCTTGTTTTTTGTTCAACATCTGATGAATTTATGAAGTATTCATAAAATCAGTAGAAACAAAAAAATGCATTACCACATGAGAATAACCTCCATGGAAACTTTTACTGGAAAAACAAAATCAGACACAGCAGAATGACAAGAACATAATGATGCTCTTCACACATTTTCAGACAAGGGCTTTGATTAGCTAATTTAAAGCAGAATTAGCTTAACATTTTTATTTAAATAATTAACTACAGGGATGTTTGCTCCAATGGTGACTCATGGTGAAGTTAATGATTCCAACAAACAGCTCGACATTCATTAAAGAGAGAAAAAAAGCACCAAGACAGACAATTATTAAACAGAAACAACAGTAAACCTTCTAAATGGACAACGACACTAGGATATTGTCTACAAACTTCAAGAAGCAGGGGATTCTGGTAAAGTTAGAACTCTAAATATGACCACAGAGCAGTTTTAGTCAACTACTGATTGATATAGCTTCAAGCAGCTACCAAAACCCAAATGAAACATACAAGATTATGCCATACAGCTAATAAAAATCTCCTACAAATATTTCACCATGACAAAAAGGTATTTGTGCAATGACTTCCCAATTAACAGCATTAGTTAATTCAATATTTAATGGACTGAGCAGTGGCGCTCGTTTTTAACCTGCTCGTTGTGTTGTGTGAACATCCATTTCCTGTTTACTCCTGATGTTTTTCAACAGATAAACACACAGAGCAAACTTGACAAGAGTTTTTCATCAGATGGCATTGTACAGTTTTCTCCCTGGTGTTTGTTGAGAAAAAAACAAAACAACAGACAATCGGCCTGTAGACAGAAAACACACACTGACAGAGGCGTGCTGATCTAACTTTTACCTTAAAACATCCCAGTAATAAGAAGTGGTTTGCCTTTAGGTAAAGTTCACCATCACCACACAGTATAACTCAACCAAGAACATCAAAACCACTTTTCACATACAAGTGCAAATAATGAATACCAGCAAAGTGGACTTGCAGGTCATTCTGCAAGGGTACAAGTACAGATTTTTTTAGGGTGGAAAATCAAGGTAAAAGGGAAACTTTACAGTTTACAGGTGTTGGGAAGTACAACTGCATAATGTGAAAAAAAGTTGTATAAAGTCTTCTGTGTCTCCATGTGAAGTCTGATCAGCTGACTCAAGTGATGTCAGTGTCGGTTGGGACTCAAGACTACACGGTTGAAAATGAGCTTAGGAGACCTCTGTAACCCACTCCTCACCTCTGCCTCTGCTAGCTGCTCCGAGCTACGTTAGCTGCTACTCGAATTAGGGCTGCCATTATTTTCATTATCAATTGTTACTCTGTGGCCCGTTTACAAAATGAATCAATTAGTTGTTTGGTCCATAAAAACATGAAAAAGGTTTATCACTGTTTCTAAAAGCCTAATGTGACGTCCTCAAATGTCTTGTTTAGTCCACAACCCAAAGATATTCAGTTTACTGTCAGAGAAGGACTAAAGAAATCAGAAAATATTCACATTAGAGGTTGAAATCTGTCCAACAACGTGGACATTTTGTCTAAAAAAAAAAAAAAAAACTCAAAACAATTGATTATCAAAAAAGATGAGCTAAATGTAATAGTTGACAACTGATTGATTAATTGACTAATCATTGCAGCTCAGAGTTTGTGTGTGTGTGTGTGTGTGTGTGTGTGTGTGTGGGGGGGGAGTAGATGTAGGGGGAGTAGATGTAGGGGAAAGTTACTCTTTAGATATTCATTTCAATAGACATTTAAATCAATTCAAAAGTGAATTTCATGCATCAGAGACATGAATTACTTCAGCAAAAATAAACTGGGAGCACAAAGGCAGGGGAGAAAGGGGCTCTATGGGAGACATACTGGTCACCAGTCTGATGGACACTGGCACACCAACTACAAAGGCAGTGGATTTTCTCCAGCAGCCGCAACGTGACACCGCCGCCTCCATTGGACACCAGGGTCAAGGCACCAGCTATATTCCAGGTTAAACAACTAAACAGCGAACGGTAATCATATACACATATTAAGCCTTCAATTACTCAAACTCACACCTGACTACATGATCCTGCGTATGGCTATTCAATTCAATTCATTGATTCACAGTGCATGCTAGAGCAACAGTCGACAGCAGCAGGATCACAAATGAAATAATGTTTCTATGAGCAGGGGTCTGATGAAATTCAGTGCCACAGAAAATGTTTATGTTAACCAAACATTTTCGGTGGTAAAAATGCTATTTTAGATCCACCTCTACATCCACTAATTAGAACTGTTAGTGACTTGCAGCTCAGTAACTTGATGATGTCAGTTAGGAAAAATAAAAGGCGAGTTCACAGCTGCAGAAAGGACTGGAACATAAAGTAAAGAGCTTGTCTTTATTGGTCCTAGCGAGGCACTTGCGTGCAGCACTGCTAACTCGAGACCCTTTTTTAACGTGCAACAATGTATCATCAATCATACATTTACAAACGGCTAATATTAATCCATGTGAGTGCTGATGGCAGCTCAGTACATTCTGACTTATTCAGTGCAGCAAGAAGTCTACAGTGATCCACAGGTCGATTGGTCTTCACAGCAGCTACAAGTCAGATTACAGCTGCACGTTGGCAGCACCAAGCGGCAGTAAGAGGTAACTACACATTAATCCTGTAACACAATGTCAGTAAACTACACACAGCATCTGTGATCCATTCTGAAGCTTTTGTTTGTCTCTTCCCATTGAGACCAGAAACTCATATTGGCAAACATGTTAAATTTACAGTGTGTCAGTTAGTGCAGATGTTGCAGACGCACCGTGCTGCGCATTAGTTTGAGATGAGCGTATTTTCACACAAAATAATCATACCAAAGCAGTTTTATCTCCTCTATCTTAAAAAAACAACACAAAACAAAATTCACAGCTGGCTCACCTGTTCATGATCTGCTCACCTGTTCATCTCGGCTGTTTCTGTTCTTTAGGCTCTGGGTTTCAGACCCATGAGGTTGTTCATTGTGTTCATTCGATTGTATGGTTCAGTAAAGCTATGGCAGTCTTTTGCATTGTTGTGTTGTATGTTGATTAAGAAACACACATTCTGAAAACCTGTGTAGATCAATTGTTCTCTGATCAATAGAAACGTTTGCGTCTGTTTTCCTTCCAGCGCCCGTAAACTACCAGCCCTACCACTGCCAGCACGCCCAGGCCCAGGATGGAGAAGAGGAGGGTGAAAAAGAACTGGACTCCGCTCATCTCTTCCTCCTGGATTTCCACTGCAAAGAGAACCAGACATTGACTCATTTAAAAGGGGTTTTTAATTCAAATGTAAAAAGAGCGTTCCAACAATTTGCTAGCCTAAAGTTTCGGGGAGAATAATTGAGTAAATGCTTCTTTCGATATACAGCATAAAAGGCAACGCTAATTTCTTCCCAAAATCTATCATCACAGTTCCTCATACAGCCGATATCTAATTATTATTTATTTATTATTTGGACTTACACACTGCAGGAAAAAGTGGCCCAAAGCTGTGTGTTCAGAACAAATCACATGGAATCAGATTTTTTTCTACTCTGATTTGGGTCACTTTCATATGTAGTGCAAATCAGATACAGGTCTGATTATTAGCAACTTGGTGTGACCAGTCATATATCACTCTAGATGGACATTTGTCAGAGTTCTGCACTGGTGAGTAAGTCTCACCAGTGCAGACTCACTGGGAAGAGGTCGTCATTGGTGGGACAGTGAGGTGTTAGATCTCATAAGTATTTTGGGTGACGGTTCTGTAAGAGCAAAAATTGGAGGGGTTGTATCGAAACCAGTCTGTGTTTGCTCCAACTCTGTATCCACACACATACACACAACTCTGTTCAGAAGTAGCAGTCATTCACTGCACATCGACTTATAAATGAAACCGTACACGCTTCTCCATCTTTACTTCTGTAAGACAGCGTGCTGTGTGACATCGTATGAAGTATTATTGTGCATGTGGGTTTGTTTGCACTGAAAAGTGATATGGGCCACATTTGAAAAAAAAAAAGGAAAATCCAAAGAAAAAATCTGAGCAATAGATCAGACTTGAGCACTAAGGCCTGCAGTGTGAGCCTAAGCTGTATTAAATCTAGGTGTCTATATGTTTCTAATAAAGAACTGATGTTCTGACTACCTCTGAACTGCTCCACATTGTCAACACTGGGGATGGTGACCTCCTCCTCTTCCTCCTCTTCAGCACTCCTCTGTACTGTCAGCTGGTACAACTTCATGGAGATGATGTCATGGTTATCTAGAGCAACATGCATAAGTCAGTAATAGACACTTGCAGAAAGAATTCCCACAAAGCTCTTGAGCCCATTCAAAGTTTCATCTGCCATTTCAGTATCTGGGAAGTGAAGCTAATTTTGCTTCTCATCTGTTAACTTACTGGAATTGTTTTGCTTATAGTGCTTGAAACCTAATTTCTCTAAATATCTCTGTAATTATAAAGTTTCATGCCACCTAGTTTAATTAAACAGAGGCTCTTAGGGGCCAAGCAACCAGCAGATGATTTCATACCCGACAGGTCTCCAGTGACAGCAGAGGCACCGAAGAAGTAGCCTCTAGGTAGACGCAGTCCTGTGATGTCAGCACACTCTTTCCATTCCTGTTTACCATCTACGTCCACCATGAGCTGGGGGGCGAAGGAAGGGTCAGAATGAGTCACAGATGAAGGAAAAACTAATGCTAGGAGTCATCTTTAGAAACTTTTTTTTATTTTTTATTTCATAGGTATTATTTTTTTCAGCATTTAGACCATCCACATCATCCTAAAGACAAATGGCAGTCTAAACATGTGTCAGTCCCATCTTAATCAGAGTGTTTCATACCGTGAGTCTGTTTTTGGAGTATCTGGCGAGGAGAAACGTGTCGTAGATTGCGTTGCGCGCCATAGCTGTACATCCTCCGAGCTCAGTTGGCCGTCCGTCAGAATCGTGGTCATACAACAGAGTCCCGTTCCCCAACATCGCTGATACGTACGGGAAAGTCCTCTGGAAGGAGAACAGGGGAGTTTAACACAAACCACTTCATCCACTGAACCACAGCACATCAAAATCTGACAGCAGATCATGAACCAGAATCAGAACAGATGCATGCAATGAGATAACATGGGATGGTGAACTGGTGATGAATACACAGTGGTTTCTGGTGCTACCTGAGTTCCAGGTTGTGCACTCTGCACATTCAAGAGGGTTGCAGAAAGAGAAATGTGACACACTTTTGAGATCACCTTTACATTGTATGCCAGAATTTTCTGAATTTACTCAATTTTAACATGTTCATGTATACTCCATTCAATATAACACAGGCATGAAACAGATGTTACCAACTGCCACTCACGTCATGGTTTTTGTCTGCATTGGGGTAAGTGTCCACAAATATTCCAAGTCCAGTGAACTGGTTCATGTTGCCAAACACAGGACCTGTGAACACACCGTGAGGTACATCAGGGCATTTTCTCACAACAAACTGCAGAGAATGTTTGAGCTGTTCGTTTGTACTTAAAATAGCTTCAGAATATTTCTCTTGCTCCCATGTGCTGAAAGTGAACACTATGGACAGCATTTTAGCCACTGGCAAATTAGAGGAGCTGCCATGTAACCTTCATTATTGGTTAGCTTAGTATTATATTTACTATTAGTATTATTTTCGAGTAATCATTTAACTGTAACCTTATCATTAATGTACACACACAGCTAAAAGCCATTTACATGTCTTTCTGAACGCCAGTTTGGCCAGTGAGTCCAGGTATCTGCTTCATTGTGTAATACAATTACAATTTTTTGAAAAAACTGTCCAAAGTGTCTGATTTCAGCCTCTCCAATGTGAAATATGTTCTGCTTTTTTTACTCCTCTGTGACAGCAAACTGAATATCTTTGGGTTGACAAGACATTTGAGGACGTCACCTTGGGCTTTGGGAAACACTGATCAACACTTTTCACCATTTTCTGATATTTTAAGAACCAAACATGAACAAATTAACCGAGAAAATGATCGACAGATCAATTAATAATGAAAATAATCATTAGTTATAGCGCTAGATGACATTATCATTAAAGCCATGATTAACATCTGGCAGAAGGAATTGGATTCACAACTAAAGGGAGACAATACTTGAGACTTAAAAGATACTAGACTTGACCTAAATTACACGAAGACCAGAGATTTTACTTAAAAACAGTAAGTAGTTGGAGTAGGGGGGTAGAAATAAGAGACATATGATCTCCGGACAAGATTAAAGTAATAATATAAACACAACACGTCCACAATAAAAAATAATCCAGTCTGAGTTTATGAGATTCACCTTAACTTGTTATTCTTGCTGCTGTCTTAGTTACACCTTGTATTTTGTGTATTTAACATACGTAGAAACAGAGAATTTAAATATTGTAGTTTTCGGAGCAGTTAGCATTGAAGCTGGGAGTGCACACATGCTGTCACGCCCTGGTCTCTCAAGTCACTCTGTACACGATGTATCACTGATGTATCAATCACATCATCTGACTATGATACAGCAAAGACGCACATTTCCCAAAATGTTTAAAAACTGTTCACCTTATTGGCTTTTTTAAGCCCAAAGATGAGCCAACTCTTAGCACTATGCTTTCTAAGTATCTACAGGGTTTCAACCTGTTTTTTCACATTACATTAAATCCTTTGTAGCATCTTTCATCCTTCTCATTGTATGAGACATGAAGCCTTTAGAGATCCAGTCTCTACCTACCGTTCTGCATGCGATCTTTTGTCAACCAGATGGCCATTCCATCCCCATTAAAATTCTTCTTTCCCTGGCCATGGATTTTAAAGTGCACCTTGAGCTCCCAATCTTGCAAGAACAAAGGCTAGAAAACAACAGAAATGAAGACAAGCAGGTTATTCTTGTGATACACTATGTATAGTATACATTTAACAACGGAATTGAGTAGCATACCATGCCCTCTTGAAACAGCCGGAATTTATCTAATGGTAGATGTCAGAAAACATATATGCTTACACAATATCTAACTTTCAAGTGGGCCTGTTCATGTGTACTTTTATGACAATTTCAGAATGAGTGAGGCAGGATGTGAGAGGTTAAAGTGTGGGATGTGGGTAATAGTGTGTGCAGTATGGGTGGGTTTTGCAATTTGTTGCATTAGACTTTACATAAGACTTACAATTCGACTCCACACCGCTCCCTGTCTGCTCTGCAGGTCTGGGGTCAGCCTCACATGATCAGGCGTAACCATGGCAGTACCCATCAGATCCCACTGTGAAGAACTAGAGAAACCCAGCCCTGGAAAACAGCAATACATCAATACACTTGTTAGTTACAGTGTTCACAGCAGTATATGTATATATATATATATATATATATATATATATATATATATATATACAAACATACCTATATATATACATATATATATATATAAACATATATTACATATTGACTTATTGTCCAAACCGCCCTCAAAAATCTCTGAATTGAATTTATTTTTATGACAGGCAAAATGCACATCAATTTAAACTCCAAAAGCAGACCTTTGTTAAACATTAGGCCATTATGGTAAATTCGGCATATGAAAGATCCGCCACAAAAAACAATATGTGTGTTTAATCGTCTCTAACAACTTGATGGTGGCAAAGGCTAATGGCGGTTGCCATTTTACTGTAATTAACACTGAGTGGTATAACGGGGGTGTAAGGAGCATGAAATCAACAACGTTATAAGACTTCTAATATAACGTTCATTTTTAATATTGAACGTAATATGCTCCCCATGAGAGCTGCACACGTTAGAGCTAACGTTAACTTTATCCTCGCTGAGAGGAAACAGTTAACATAGTTAACGTAATTAGCTGTTAGCTGTTAGCTGCTTAGAGTTAACGTTACGTTGTAAGCTAGTGTTTATCAACATTAGTAACGAGCTACCCGTTGTTGGCTAATAGTAGCTAACGTATCATTTCCCGTAACAGCAGTGCCTGAGGGGTTCAGAGTTCTTCTTAGTTAATTATTACACTCAGCAGCTAATACAGCATTAGATAGCCAAGAACCTGGCCAAAATGAGCGGAATGCACATTAACATTGGGACAAATTGCTATTGTTGGTTAATGTTAAGTAAAGTTTATCCCCTTTACGCTTGTTAACGTTAGCTAACGTCTGTGTTAACGTAACCGCCAGTTGACAGTAAACTTACCCCGGTAAGGCTTCGCCAGAGAATATTCCCGCTTCAAGAAGTCCTCCATAAAGTCCTGGTCGTCTGCCGACGAGGGGCTCGTCAGTATACAAACGGTAACAAACAAACATGTTAATTCACGGATGTTTTTTAAATGAAACATTGGATACAAAAACCCCCAAACTTCTCAATCGTTCCAGATTTGACCTGGTGACAGGCAACCAACCACACACTCCCACTGGTCACGTGGTTTGAAGCAAGCGAGCTGGAGAAAACGACACTTCCGGTTTCGTCTTTCCAAATCAGAAGCTGTGTGAAACCATCGACTGTATGTAAAAAGAAAAAAATCAATACAAAGAGCAATACAACCACTTTTACAACGTACTGAAGAAATATGATCAGGGATATAGTCATGGTAAAAATCATGATTATATCATACATTACATTATTGGTATATTATTACTGATGCCCTAACATAAAAGTAGTAGTTTAATGTTGTAGGTAGAGTGACTTTCATGCACCTTTGTGTATTATATTTGTTTTATATGTAAAACCATAGCTGCCAAATAAAAGCAGTGGAGTAAAAAAAAATATATATATGAATATATATATATATATATAGCCTCTGGAATGTATTAGAGTATAACTGTAATGTTGTTAGTATTGTGTTTATAATAATTTCTTTAAAGACTACTTCCAGGTTGATTGAATTCTGCATCTTTGGCCATCAGCTTAAATAAAACTGTATTATTAGCTGGAAATTTCTCAAATATGTGTTGTTTCATAACTGATATGGAGTGTGTTTGAGTTTGAGCTAGACTTCTGGATTCACTTATAATGTCAATGCAAATAAAGAGCTAAAGCAGCTTAAACGTGTAGTCACAGTACAATAGGACTGAAGCTGAAGACAACAGATCAATTAAAGAGAAAGGAAGCAATGCAACAGTGAAAGTCAGGCAGTTTGAAGCCATTATTGCAGTATCTCAGACTTGAAATGTGTTTAAATTATAAAAAGTATTCAAATAACCCAGTCCATATCAAAATATAAAAACACATGTTTAATATCAACACATTAAAGCTGCAGTAGGTAACTATAATACATAATAAAAAAAGTACAACATAAATAGTATAAAATAACTTTTTATATTGCTGAAACCTTCTCTATATCCTGACACTACATGAGACAGATAATCTGTGAAAAAATCAGGTTTGTCTGGCTCCTCCTTCTTTGCTCTGATTGGTGGTTTTTGTTCAGGCCCAGTACATTCTTGCAAATGCCATTAGGAGCACTAGGAGGATTACATACTGCAGCTTTAAATTCACAGAACAGGGAGAGTGATGACCCACATTTCATGGTATATGCCAGTGGAGGGGTAAGGTCATTTCCTTTGACCTCTGTCAGTTATTTGGTGGAAAACAGCTCCATCTTCTGGCAGCGGGGCATCATGTCTAAATGATTAACCTCATTGTCCTGAAACCATATCGTACTTAAAGGAATCAGATAAGAGATTTTAAAATGGTTTATTTAACACAAAGCAAATTCGTGTGATCAAGTGGTATCCATCTCTGTTGCCGACTATCAAGCTTTGTGTTTAGTTGCTGAACAAAGATTCCAAAATACTGATTTTATGTCCTGAAATTGTGAAATTGTAGGCTCAGAGGAAGCCCTCCAGATGATGACACTAACTGTTGTAGTGATGGTAACCTGAATGTTGGCTTAATTATCTTTCTATCAAATGTAGGGGAGTTATAAAAGCTTAGCCCCTTAAGCAGTATTACCAATCATGAACTACTATTGAAAACACTGCTCTTATTTTGAAGGTAAAACCAATTGACTTCTTGTTGGAGTCTGGATAACTCTAACTAGCTTGACTTTAAAAGGGAAAAAATAATAATCCCCACAACTGCTTCTAGTCATTTTCCTATTGGTTGGCACTCAGACTTTCTTCTGTTAAGAAATCATTAGAACTATACTTTACTTTACTATTTACTATAATAATGAAATATCTGAGGAGCATTTGCAGAGGTATAAGCAGTACACTTGTACTGTATGTTTAAGGAACATTCTATGTGGGCTAGGACAGACAGTGTTGGGGAAGCTTTGCAAGCTACCAATTACTTCACACTGGAAGAATTTGAACTTCAGCACAGCTACTCGGGAGAAATCCGGGTTGGTTACTAGCTGCTAGCTAGTAGTTCAAACTACTTTCTGAAAAAGTATGAAATTGACCATGTACATGTGATATGAAATGATAACAAAATAAAATAAAACAAAGTCACATGCCAGCAAATGCAAATTTCAAATTGGGATTCAAAACATAAAAAACTTTAACCAAATATTATAATATATTTCACAAGTGCAATCCAGCTTCCTGGAACAACCCTGAGACTTTATCCTGCTCTAAACATAATGAAAGATGGTACATCTTAAGGGGTTATTTCAAATAAAGAATTTCCAATCTAAAATCTATTTAGGGCCCAAAAACTAGTTTCAGTAGGTAACTACACAAACAATGACCAAAAAGTAATTTAACTACTTAAATCACTATGCAAATTTGACTGTTACCAGCAAGCTACTGCACAATAGTTAACCTACTAGTTTAATTCCATGTAGTTTCCATATGTTTAGGGATTACAGAATAAAGACTGGGAGGCGTGATGCAGTTTTTTGTGCTACAACATCAGAATTACATACACTACCTGCAGCATTTCAGAAATAATAATACTAATGAACCCAGGAAAGTCCAACACTGGTATGTTGTGCATATGTGTGTGTGTGTGTGTGTGTGTGTGTGTGTGTGTGTGTGTGTGTGTGTGTGTGTGTGTGTGTGTGTGTGTTGCTGATGAACCCAGGTTTTTTAGTTTTTATCTATATTTTTCATTTACTCAAACAATGGACATTTCTTCACCCACCTGACAGTTTTACACATTTACACATTTTTCTGTGTGCTGTGTGTTTGGTGTTTCTACAAACACTTCACAGAACAGGTTGATCTTTCAAACTAATTGGCAAAATGGCAGATGCTACAGAGTCAAAGTAATACTAACCAAATGTCCTGTAACAAGTACAAGCTTTATTAACAGAAGAATGTATAAATACTGTTTAACTTTTCAGAAGGACTCAATATTAATTCACATATTATGTTTGCCTTTATGCTCTTGTGACCAAATTGTACAATGAGTTCCTTTCTTTGAAAACCAGGATTTTATCAACAATTAATCCATGTTGGATGATAATATCGTCTAATCATACAGGTTTCTGATTTTGAATCATGGAAATGGAGTCTTAGAGGCTTCTATCAGTCTGTTCAAATACATCTAACTCCAATGTGGAGCAGAGTCAACACAGTCTGAGGTAAAGAGCAAACAGTGAAATTCCAGCAGGAGATTACCATGTTTTGGCACTACCTGTGCAGCTGTAAACCTGCATTTGTTCATTTTTTGCCCTCTTGCAGGCGGCACAGACTTTAAATACAACACTGTCACCTTATAAAGTTGATAAGGCGAACAAAATGACACATCCAGCTGACACAGAGGAGCATTATCATTCATTTGGAGTCATGTTTATGTTCACCTGATGAATGTATGTCCAATATTCTCTCTCCCTTTGGCTCTGTTTTTGGTCTCCACTAACCCCGGAGGGAAATATCTGGCTCTTTAGCTGATTATGCTCCACTATGTTCATGTTCACTAATGTATCTAAATTTGTGTGTGCGCTGTGACTCGAAAGGACTGGAAACAGCCATGTTAACCAGCTATTTGCCACCCTTGTTGAAACTACTTTGAAACTGTAGCTAGTAAAGCTACAGGCTATTCCTGATTGGAAAAAGCTACAGCAGCACTATATTGAAAGTAGCAATATACTTAGAAACCATAACTTAAACTGAAGATATATTTCGTATGAAGTGTTCCAAGAAGTATCTATTGTAAAGTAATGTAAAAAACAAACTCTTTATTAGCTTCCCTCCAGTCAGAAATCAGTGTTTCTTCTCGTTCCTACAGTGTGCTGTTTGAATGATGTCTGTGCAGACACTAGAAGGGTGCTTTCACATTCATCTGCTGAAAGTGGAGCAAAATTTCTTTCTTTTTTTTAAAATATAGTTTTTGGGACTATATATTATTTGACAGGACAGCTCAAGATATACTGATGGAAAAACTGACATAACTATTTTCAAGTTATCCCTTGACCTCTGACCTCAAGATATCTGAATGAAAATAGGTTCATGTCTACCCTTTACAGTCAAAAACCATCCAGCTATTTGCATGTGGTATAGATACGTTATTTAAATATTTCTGCATACCGGGGTCCACAAACAGTATTGGAATTGTATAAATTGGGAATGAATGGAAAGCTGAGACACATACTTTATGCCACCCCTCTATAAGTAAGTAAGTGACCCCTTTCACATTGCATAGAAAGTTAACTCCGACATGCAGAGCACAATGGATTAGTAATCACCAGCAGCATTTAGGCAGGTTTTAGATTTGACAGTCAGGTAGATAATCAGTCATTTTACAGATTAAACTTATCTGTCCAACTCTGCATTTTTTCTCAATTTGCCTCGTCAAAGGAAACATCCAATGATGGCGTGGGGATCAACAGCAAATTACATTTGACTCAGCCCTTTGCAGAGTCTGTTTGCTTGCTCACCAAGCCTTGTTGTGTCTCATAAAAGAATGGCGCTTGGTTCGATTAATGGACAGAGCCAAGTATTGACATGTGATGGTGGATGCCAGGTTTGTGACAGGATCCTGGGAGAAATTACAGCAATGCAGTCATCTTGAGGGTGATGCTATTGCTCCTCAGAGACAGACAAAGAGACAGAGTGGGAATAAGAGAGCAAACATGAAGGTGTTTATGATCCAGCAGTGACTTGGGGGGCCTTTAGTATTTCCTGTATATGCCCCCTGGGAAGATGTTATTCATTTACATTGAGAAAGCTGCAGAATTCCAGCTTGAACCTTGAAACCTGAAACACCAGCGTCTAGCACCTCTCCTGACACCCACGCATCACCATTTGTGTATCCCATAATCCGCAGCGGAGACCAACACATACAGCACGGGGCTGTCTGCAGGGCCATAAATTCTGCCTCAGCTCATTGAGTGGAGAGGATCGCGGGGCATGCTGCATGCAGTCGCCTCCCGCTGTGGCAGACTTGCATTATAATCCCTGTTTGCAAGGTCAAGAGATATTTTAATATCCCTTGGTCACAGTCAGAGTCAGTGCTCATCTTTATTAAAGCCGT